ACGGATGATGGAAGGGTGAGAGGTGGGAAGGTGGAGAGGGAGGAGAGGAAGACGCGGTGTGAGAGTGAGAATCGGGAGGAGAGGGGATCGAAAGGAGGTGTAAGGGAGGAGGGGGAAAGGTGGGAAAAAGGCAGAGAGGAGGAAAGGGATCAAGAGATCACAAAACGTAAAGGACATACAAAACGTAGCAGCGGATAACACTAACATCTCTTGTTTTATCTAAAAAAAAAAACGCATGCTCTCTTGTTTTCTCGCCGTCAGACACCGGATGCTGGAGTCGTGTCGCGAGTTTCGCACGTTCGTCGCGCTGGCCCGCAAGCGGGCGCTGGAGGCACTCGACTTCGCCAAGATGCTGCGGGGTGACCTGGAGGTCACGGCGGGGTTCCGCGTTGCCGTGACGACGCCGGAATTCCTCGAGGCGCTGGTCAACAGCGATCACGTCAGGGTGAGCGCGCGGCGGTCGTTGTTGTTGTTGTTGTTGTTGTTGTTGTTGTTTGTTGTTATTTGTTGTTGTTTGGTGTAGTTTGTTGTTGTTGTTTGGTATAGTTTTATTGTTGTTGTTTGTTGTTTTTGTTGTTTTTGTTGTTTGTTGTTTGTTGTTGTTGTTTGTTGCTAGTTGTTTTTGTTGTTGTTGTAGTTTGTAGTTGTTGTTGTAGTTTGTTGTTGCTGTTGTTGTTATTGTAGTTTGTTGTTGTTGTTGTTTGTTGTTTGTTGTTGTCATTTTGTTTGTTTTTTGTTTGTTGTAGTTTGTAGGTGTTGTTGTTTTTGTTGTTTGTTGTAGTTTGTAGTTATTGTTGTTGTTTGTTGTTTGTTGTTGTTGTTGTTGTTGTTGTCATTTGTTGTTTTTGTTGTTTGTTTGTTGTTCTTCCTCATTTTATTCTTTTTTTTCCTCTCTTTTGCAGGTGACTATCGACGCGACCACGCGTTACTACATGATCGCCCCATCCCGCGTTGCCGTGGATACGCCGCTGCTGTTGCTGCTGCTGCTGGATGCTCTCTGTGGGAGAGAGGAGGAGGAGGCCCCGCCATGGGTCATGCCAGGTGAGACACGGGTGAGATAGGGCAGAGATATGGGTGAGATATGGGTGAGATATGGGTGAGATATGGGTGAGACACGGGTGAGATATGGGTGAGATATGGGTGAGATATGGGTGAGATATGAAAGAGATATGGGGCTCTTTCTCTCCTCTCTCTTCTCTCATCCTCTCTCTCTCTTTCTCTCTCTCTCTCTTCTCTCTCTCTCGTCTCCGCCTCCCTCCCTCGCGCTCCCTCCCTTCCCCTCCCTCCTACCCTCCCTTCCCTGCCCTCTCTCTCTCTCTCTCATCGTCTCTCGGTCTTGGTCTTGTCCTACTGTTCTGTCTGTCTCTTTCTCTCTATGCTATCTCTCTCTCTCTTCTCTCTAGTTCTATCTCTCTCTCTCTCTCTCTCTCTCTCTCTCTCTCTCTCTCTGTCTCTCTCTCTTTCTCTCTCTCTCTCTCTCTGCTCTCATCTCTCTCTCTCTCTCTCTCTCTTCCTCTTCTCGTCTCTCTCTCTCTCTGCCGCTCCCTCCTCCCTCCCTCCCTCTCCCTCCTCCCTCCTCCCTCCCTCCATCCCTCTCTCTCTCTCTTCTCTCCCCCTCTCTCTCTATCTTCTTCTCTCCTCTCTCTCTCTACATCTCTCTCTCTCTTTCGACAGGAGGGCGCGACGCATGCGTTCAGCTGAGCGGAGGGACGGTCGCGCGTGTCGGCGAGCGCTTGGCGGTAGGGGAGGAGGAAGCGTACCTCCTCTCTGTTCGCATGAGAAGGAGGTGTGAGGAGTGGAGCTGGGGAGAGAAGGTGCACCCGGCACATCGGTGGATGGGACACATGCCAAATGGCCTCTCTCTGATGTCAGAGGTGAGGAGGAGAGGAGGAGGATTCGGGAGGAGGAGGACGGAAGGAGGAAGCAGGGGAGGAGGGGGATGGAGGAGGAGGAGGATATGAAAGGAGGAGGGGAGGGAAGATGAGAGAGAGGAGATGGAGGAGGGGAAGATGAGAGTGATGAGAAGAGAAGGAGGCTGGAGTGAGGAGGAGGAGGAGGAGGAGGAGGGAGGAGAGGAAGATGAGAGAGAGAGAGAGAGAGGATGGAGAGGAGGAGGAGGAGGAAGGGAAGATGAGAGAGAGAGAGGAGAGAGAGAGGGAAGCGGAGGATGGAGTCCAGACGATGAGGCGCGATGAAGGACAAGGCTCTCTCTGATGTCAATGTGAGCAGGGGAGGGAAAGGAGGAGAGAGATGAGAGAGAGAGACCTGGTGGGTCGCGACCTTTACCCGACCTCTTCTTGACCTTTACGTGACCTCGTTACAGGTAGGTGGCGACCTCTACCTGCTCGTCACAGGCTCGGCCCAGCTGGCGTCGCAGAGCAAGCGATTCGTCGACGCGGTCGGTGCGTCCGTCGTGCAGTGCAGGGAACGATGAGCTAGCCACCAACACATCTCTCACGCTTCTCACCAAACTAAAGGGTACCAACGGTTAGGGGTAGGGCGGAGAGGGAGGGGGTACGGTGGAGCAGGAGGAGGGGGGGAGTGGTAGGGCAGGGTTGGATTTAGCGTTTACCGAGCCAGGCTTAGGCTAGGGTATGGTTGAAAATCAAAGTGTAGCAGAAACATCTCCACGCTCTCACCAAGACTAAAAGGTGACCAACGGTAGGGGGAGGGGGAGGGGGAGGGGGAGGGGGAGGGTAGGGGCAGGGTTGGATGGGTTTACCTAGCCATGCCAGGCTAGGGTAGGTGCTGAAATCAATGTTAGCAGAAACATCTCTCAGCTCTCACCAAACTAAAGGTACCAACGGTAGGGGTAGGGGGAGGGGTAGGAGGAGGGGGAGGGGAGGGGCAGGGTAGGATAGGTTTACCTAGCCAAGCCAGGCTAGGGTAGGTGCTGAAATCAATGTTAGCAGAAAATGTGGTAGAGCGTCTAAGGTAGGGCAGCTGCCTCTTACACCAACCCTTCTTCTATCCTCTCCCTCTTCCTCGCTTCTCTCACCACTGCATCCCCCCTCCTTACTTCTCCTTGTCCTCCTCCCCTCTTCCTTTCTTCCCCTTTCTCCATTTTTCCCCTCCCCCTTTTCCCTCCCCTTTTCCCCTCTCCCTTTCCCCTCTTCCTTTCCCCCTTTCCCCTCCTTCTTTTCCCCCTCTCCCCTCTCCCCCCTCCTCCTCCCCTTTCCCGTCCTCCCTCTTCCTTTCTTCCTCTCTCCGCCATTTCTCCCCCCTGGGGTCTTTCCCCCTCCCGCTCCTCCTCCCCCTTTCCCCTCCACCTTCCCCTCTCCTTTTCCCCCTCCAGCTCCTCCTCCCCTCTCCTCCTCCTCCTCGTCTCCATCTTCCTCCTCTACATCTTCACCTACTGAATCTCTGCGCGTTTCTCGTCTCCATAGCAACGAGCGATGGAGCTGCGACACGCGATCGTGCGAGACATCGTCGACGTTGCCGTCGGCAACGCGGCGGCAGCAGCCGCGGAGGCTGGGGAGGCGGACGCGGTAACCATGGCGACGGAGCACGGGGCGTTAGACGGGCAATATGTGAAGACGGTGCAGAAATGCTACAACTTTGCCTTCGAGGTGAGAGTGAAGGAGAGAGGAGGAAGAGAGAGAGAGAGAGAGAGAGAGAGAGAGAGAGAGAGAGAGAGAGAGAGAGAGAGAGAGAGAGAGAGAGAGAGAGAGAGAGAGAGAGAGAGAGAGAGAGAGAGAGAGAGAGAGAGAGAGAGAGAGAGAGAGAGAGAGAGAGAGAGAGAGAGAGAGAGAGAGAG